TGACGGAGGAGGCTTTTGGGGTTGCACTTGACTTGTATCGTGGCGCCTCCCTCGAGTTGTACTGCGTCCGCGCCGAGGAGGCACTAAATCAGTTCAATGGACAAGTTTTAAGGAATCGCCAACAGTCGGTTCGTACGTTTAGACAGTCGGAGGAAATTCCCAGACCGGCAACCAAGACACGGGGTGATGAGCCGCTAGTGCCTCGGCTCCTGCAGCCGCCCACAGCAGGGGCGCAGCGGAGGCCCGTGTCATTCTCCGAGGGGCCGTACGTTATTAGCAGCGACGGTGACGGGGACAGCGTCAAGAGCTCCTCGGCACGAGGTAAAATGCGACAATCCCTGCTCCAGACGGCTCGGCCTGGCAGCGAACGTAACTCTACACTCCCACCGCCGCTCTCACACCAGCACCAGCGTCAGAAGCANCGCAGCGGAGGCCCGTGTCATTCTCCGAGGGGCCGTACGTTATTAGCAGCGACGGTGACGGGGACAGCGTCAAGAGCTCCTCGGCACGAGGTAAAATGCGACAATCCCTGCTCCAGACGGCTCGGCCTGGCAGCGAACGTAACTCTACACTCCCACCGCCGCTCTCACACCAGCACCAGCGTCAGAAGCAGCAGAAACAGCATCAGAAACAGCACCAGCAGCCGCAGCAGCAGCGAAGAAGGATAAAGCATAACGACAACACCAGACACAGCCACATTGACAAAAATGCTGAATCAGTGAATCCGCCAAATATCCGCCGTTCCACATCCATGCACCTTTTTCACAGCGACCGGTGCTCTCAAAGTCTACCACGCCGCGCCACTACACCCTCTATGGCGTCGGCGAGCTTTCTTTCCTCGCGCCCAATGACGCCACGGCCTGCACGAAGCTACGCCTCCACCACTCTGTCGGTACGGCGTAGTGGAGTGCGGCAGCTGCTGGAGGTGGACGACTCGGACCCGCTGCACACCCGAGGTTTGCTCACGGGTGCGCACGACCGCCACCAACATCGGAGCCTGGGCTCCGGTGGCCATTCACTCTTCTCTTACCGCAACGGCCGGACGCAAGACACCGGCTTGGCCAGCACCCCCCCCTCTAGCCGCTACAGCAGCACGGAGTTCATCTCGATGAATGGGAATGCCACGCCCTCACCACGGCAGCAATGCGTCTCCGTATCCAACTACATATCACCGAGCTACGTGAAAGAGAACCGCAGCACTCTCACGGGTGTGTACGACTGGCCGGTTGGAAGGAATAGCCCCTCCAAACAACGGCAGCCCTCTGTGAAGATGCCCCCCTCGCCGGCGAAAAAAAGCTTGAGTCATCGTGAGCGGGCGCCGAGCCCCCTCACGTACATCAACTCACACCTCGCGTCGTGTACTTTCAACGCCACGTTGAAATGCGTCGATGTGCGGTGTCCTGCATCCAGGTCCGTGAGCAATGGCAAGCGTGATGACCTTGGCGAACAAAATACGATACTTAGTGGAGATTTGCTGATGTGGTGTGAGGGCCAGGCTATGACCGATGCTGGAGGGATGGAGCAGGTGATGCGCGCGGCTCTGGGTCAGGGGGCCGGGTTCTTAACGCTGCGTGTGATGCGCGGAACGAAGAGCGTTCTGGTGCGCGAGGCACTTGTTAGGTAAGCGACATGTAAAGAGGAGTGCATCCATGGTGCACATATTGCTCCTGAAACTGGGATTGCTATAGACGATGAGTTGATGCAGGAAGAAATTTAGGACGCATGGGGTTGAGAGCGAGCAAATTGCTTGCGCACGATGTATCTTTTTTCAGGCTGATGTGCGATGATTGAAGTGTGATTGCTTTCTTTTTTTATTTTTACTTTTTTTTTATACGGGTGCGATCTGTGCTATATAGATGCACCGTCTCTTCTATTGCACAATAGCGATGCGAGATGCATACCTGGCTTATATCCGTTTTGCCCATTATATATACACATACACACCCACACCCACCAACGTACGAAACGCCCAGGTATGCACGTAAACACAGACATACTCACCGGTATATAAGGTATATATATATATATACGCTCCGCAGAACAAAACACACACACACACACACACACACCAAAACAAACAAACATGCGATGAGATCAATGGAACAGAGGTGCCTCACTTTACGTCTCGAGGGAAGGGTGTAAGGGTGTACCGCAGGCGGTGGGCCTGACGTGGCGCCTTCGTTTGGGCCTCAACTCCTCCTTCTCCCTCCGCTCCTCTCTTTCTCTCCCTTTCTCTCTCTTTCTCCACGTGTGCCGCCGCCTCCGACACGCAAGCATACGAGGGAAACGTGTTACTGCTGTATCTAGAGCAAGGCTGAGATAACGAGGACAGAGCAACAAAAGGAACACCACACAGAACCAAACAAGGTAGAGCATAAGTGATCACACCTTCGACTCTCACGTTGTCTAATTAGAGAAATGGAGAACTACTTTAGAGTGCTAGGCCTCACCCGCGGCTGCGACGAGGCGGCGCTAAAGAAGGCGTACCACCAGAAGGCACTTGCACTGCACCCCGACCGCAACCCCGGCGGCGCGGAACAGTTCAAGCGCGTCAACGAGGCGTACGAGGCTATCCGCACACACTTCCGCCGCAACGGCGGCCATGACTCAGCAGGTGTTCAGGCCGCCCCGGGCGGTGGCGGCGCGCGGACGAGCGGACGCACCGCCACAACCTTCACCTTCAACACGTACTACACCAACGCGGGCACCGGCTTCCAGTACGCGCGACGGGCCCACTTCGCGGAGGAGCCGCCGCATCTCTTCACGGAGGAGGAACTCTTCGGCGAGCCGCCCGGTGGTTTCACATACGAGAAGCGCTACCCGAGGGCGAGGTCCACCACAAAGCCCGGCGAGACTGCCAACAACAACAACAACAACAGCAGCAAGAACAATAATAACAACTACAGCAGCAGTGGGAACGCCAAGTTCGCCAAGGCAGCAGGGCCTGGGGTCCGATTCACTACTACGCAGATGTATGAACAAGCGGATGAGCGGTGGCGCCGTGCACACGGCGATCGNGTGCCCGTCAGTGGCTACTCGATGCAGGGTGGTGGGGGTGCCGCCCCGCCACCGTATCAACAGTCACAGCAACAGCCACAACAAGCGCAAGCAAAGCCGTCGCCGGCCTCCAATTCTTTTTCGGCTGACGTGAGCGACGGCACATGGAATCGCCAAGGGAATGGTAACGGCAGCGCCAACACCAATAGCAGCCCGTCTAGGAGGCAGCGTCAGCAGCAGCAGCAGCAGCAGCACCGAGCAAGTAGCGGCAAGAGCAACAACAGCTTCTTCGCCAATGATATCAACAGAAACAATATGGGCAATACTGGCCACGATGAGGCTGATGACGATGACGATGATGGTGCAGCCTACAACGCCGGCATGTCTTCTTCTCCAGAGTCCCATGCGTCAGTGGATGACATCCTCAACGAATTTGAGATGCAGCAGACCCTTCACGAGGTGCGCCGTGAGTGGGAGCGTCTGAAGAAGGACTTAGACCGCAAGATGACACGGTCGACGCCATCGCCGGAACGCATGCGGCGCGACAGGGGGAACAAGTTTGTCGACGACGACGACGAGGACAACTACGTTGTGCACCGCCGCCCAGAGCCGCCACACAGGGAGGAGACACAACACTACCACCGTCGCGAACAGCAGCGGCTTGACGAGGCACATATGCGTAGTATTCTTGAGGAGAAGTTGCAGCTCAAGAAGGTCCTCTTCACGCAGCGCTACACGCCGGATCCGGCCGATGTTGCACTAATGAGCGACAGCGAGGTGTATGTGCTGTGCGAGCTGCTGCACGAGGTGGAGCAGCGCATGCGTCGAGTCCTGAGCGGCCGCATGGTGAAGGGGCTCTGCAGCAGATGCTCGGCCGCTGCAAAGATACAGGACGGCAGGATTTTCACGTGTGGCCACACATCTGTCTGCGCAGACTGTGCGGTGACGAGTGGCATATGTCCTGTGTGTGCCGCTACGCGCCGCTGAGACGGAACACTGGGCGTCGGAGTTTTGCCTTATTGCCTTGCCCCGTTCTTCAGCCTCTCCGTTATACGATTGGGCGTCTCGTATGGATGCGACGCTCAATGTATTATTAGATAATCAGGAGAAGAGAACAACCAAAGGAAAAAAAAAACGCCAATATTGCTTTGAGTAGTCTTGTGTATGTGTATGTGTGTGTGTGTGTGTGTGTGTGTGTGTGTGTGTGTGCTGCGGCAGTGGGGGAGGCAGTGGGGAGAGAGAGAGAGAGAGAGTGCTGCGAGGCGCCGGAGAAGCGGCGCACGACATGTATCATTTTGAAAGAGTAGAAAGTACCACGCAGTTATTGATTGCCTCCCACCCGCACGCACACACACACACACCCAGAGAGAGAAAGAGAGATAAAAATAGAGGGAGTGCGACGCCCTCGCTCCCTCGCACGCATGTGTCTTGTGCTGCTAGCTGTTGTTTCAGCAGCAATGGCCCCAGCGCGAGGAAACGCAGCCGCAACAACGTACAATTACGCAAAACCATTGGAGGTGCTGGCGTTGAGTTTTCTGCTCCTCATTGCTTCCACACACACACACACACGCATTCATACATACACGTACAAACGCCGCTGACCGACCGGCAGCATTCTCTGTGTTACTCTTCACTGTTTTTTTAAAAAAAAAATTAAAAGCGCTGGGCCTTTCTTTTCTCTTTGCCTACTTTCGTTTCGAGTATTCCATGCAGCGCCCTCTGTGTGCGTCTATGATCCGCTGAGTTTGTGTGTGTGTGTGTCTGCGTGCTCTTCCTGCCATTCACCTGTACAGCCACACAAAACGCTGTGGTTGAGTCCCCCCCCCGTCCCCTCCCTTTGCCATCCCCTCGTTGTCTGCATGGCGGTGCGTGAGTCGCCACTACTGCTGCTGCTGCTGCTGCTGCGCCAGCTGGCTGATGGGAGGCGCTGTTGGGGCGCGCCGCATTGAGATGGATGCTGCTTCTCTTATTTCTCTCACTATTGTTGTTGTTGTTGTTGCTGCATTTGCCCCCCCGCATCCCCTCTGGCGCTGCAGCACAAAGCGTAGAGGAAACATAGGAGGAATACCAGTGAGAGTGGGCACCACACATCAACAAAACCAAAAGAAAGAAAGAAAGGACAGGCAGAGAAGGAAAACAGGAGCCAAACAAAACGCATACATACGCGCACACCCTCAACATAGCAAGGAGAAGGTCAGCATCAACGGGAGGCGAGAAGGGGAAGGAAGCAAAGAGGAACCATTTGACAGGCCGCGTAGCAAAAAGGGGGAGGTGAAACGAACCAAAAAGGCCAATAAAACACACACAAAGCGGAATCGCACTCAGGTTGGTCTACTTTGTGTCTTCCCACTACTTCTTTCCAGGCGCCGCCTCATTTGTCGCGATCATCTTCGCCAGGAATCATATTCTTCACACCCAATCATCATCGTTGTCGTTTCCGTGCTACAACCGTTGTGAGTGAGTGGCGTGTGTTTGAACGATTCATACCGGAGAGTGAGACAAGAGAGAGGGTAGATAGTGAGTGGTGAGACACCACCAGCAACACATTCTAAGCGGTACCGTACTACAAGGCATAACCACGGACACAAGGCGAGAGCTGCTGCCCGAATCGCTCCTTCGCACCCCGTCAACTGTCAGCTGCATTTCCAGCATGACGGAGGAGTACCCGGTGAACCTGCGTGTTGATTTGACGCCCGACAGCAGCTCGCTGCTGCTGTCTGGCAGCATCACCATCACACGCACAACCATCTCGGTATTTAAGCTGTGCGAGATGAACGACGAGGAGCCGCTCTTTATTGGCGTCTGCTCCGTCCCGCTCCTGAAGTTCGCGCGGCGGCCGAGCAAAGTGTACCCGTCATGCGACGCGCTCGTGCTGATGAGCATATCTGAGCACCTCTTCATCAACGCCTCGCTCTCCGCGGGAATTGTGCCCACGAAGGACGGCAGCGTTGTCAGCTCGCGCACCGCCTCCACCGGCCTCGTTGTGCGCACCCCCAGGGACGACGCGCAGAGCGACTGGATGCAGCGGCTCGACAACCCCGCCCAGTGGCGGAAGCTGCGGCTGGAGTTCCCCACCGCAGACGATTGTGACCGCTGCGTTGAGGCGCTCCTCGCCCGCAATGCAGAGGACGCTACGGTGGAGTACGCCAGCACGTCGCGCCGCACTGGCGACGGCGCCGCGTACCCCGACGAGGTCTCGCCGCGCACACGCTCCGTCCGCGCAAGTGAGTCAGGGACGAGCGTGAGGAGCTACAACAACAACAACCGCGCCGAAGCGGAAAACTCCGCGATGCGGGACTGCAGCGAGCTGATGCAGAGCTGCCGAAGCCCGTCGCAAATGAACGATAATTCCCGCCTTAGCTCGACAGTCCAACAACAGAAGCGACAGGAGTTGAGCTTATCAGATGACAATCGGCTGGATCTGGAATCGCCAAGCGGCCGCAACACGCCGCGCTCCAGCCATCACAGCCGTGGTCTTCCTGCACGCAGCCACCCTACCGATAGCCGTCGTGAATTGGAAACGCCAAGTGAAGTGCGTACACCGCGTGGCTCGACCAGGGGGGGCAGCCGACGGGAGTATGATGCGGCGATTGGTTCTCACACGCCGCGCAGCGTCCGGAAGAGCCAGAGCATTCCTGCGGGGAGCCAGCCTGCTGCCAGCCAACGTGAGGTCCTGACTCCGCACGAATCTCGTGACAGCCGCAATACGCCGCGCTCCAGCCATCACAGCCGTGGCCTTCCTGCACGCAGCCACCCTACCGACAGCCGTCGTGAATTGGAAACACCAAGCGATGTGCGCACACCGCGAGACTCGGCCAGGGAGGGCAGCCGACGGGAGTATGATGCGGCGATTGGTTCTCACACGCCGCGCNGCGCCCGGAAGAGCCAGAGCATTCCTGCGGGGAGCCAGCCTGCTGCCAGCCAACGTGAGGTCCTGACTCCGCGCTCCAGCCATCACAGCCGTGGTCTTCCTGCACGCAGCCACCCTACCGACAGCCGTCGTGAATTGGAAACGCCAAGCGATGTGCGCACACCGCGAGACTCGGCCAGGGAGGGCAGCCGACGGGAGTATGATGCGCGGCAGATGTCGATGGATCAGAATTCCGCTCGGGAGGGGCCGCCCGCATCATCGAGCTCCACGCGTAACGGTCATAGCCACACGAGCCCACGTGAAACGACCAGCGCCGTCCAGCCGCAAGCACCACCGTCGTCGTCGTCTTTTCTGCATGCGTCTCCAAACGCTGCACGGATGGTAGAAGCTACGCAGCCGACGCACGCGACAAGCCACCCATACGGCTCTATCACCCCATTACCGTACTCGCCGCACAGCCAGGCCACAACGACAGTGCGGTCGAGCAGGAACCGCACAGAGCACCAGTACTTCCTGCGTAACGTAATGAAACTGATGCACCACCGCCTACACTCCATGCAGTACCTCCACAAGGAGTTGGTGCACCAGGCGTACCTTGCCGAGGAGGCGCGGCTGCTTGGTGGCCGTGGCCGCAGCCGTGCCTCCCGCAGCGCTTCCGTGAACCACTCCGTCAGCCGTCCGACAAGCATCTCCCCGCGTTCCCCGCGTCGCACCGCTCACTCGAGCGTTGCCGAGGAGTCCTCGCGACTGCGTGAGATCGAGGAGCGGCTGCGTGAGGTGGAAACGCTTCAGCGTGAGGCGGAGCAGGACCGCCGCGAGGCCGCCCTTCTGCGTCGTGAGGCGGAGGTGAAGTTAGAGTCCATCTCCCGTGAGTCAGGGGTTGTGCCGCGACGCTTTCCCCCATCACACGATGTGTCAGATGTGAATGAGTGCAACGCCTCCGTCCACAGCCTGAATGTGCGCAGTAGTGCGAACGACAATAATCGCCAGCAGCGCCACCAGGCCAGCAGCACCACCGCTGCCAATAACGTCAGCAATGGCAACGTGGAAAGTAAGCTCCCTTCCTTCCGCCAGAACCACAGTGGTAATGAGCCATCATCGAGCCACAGCAGGCCACGCGATACTGAAACCTCTCATGGGAGCAGACATTCCACACTGTTGGCGGGGTCTGGGCAAGTCGCCATCACGGGGCAGCAGCTCCAGCTCCAGCTCTTGCAGGCAGATACACCATCGGAAGAGGACAACGCCGTCTCTATTGTGGATCGCTACATCTACGGCGATGAGTGGAACCTGTTGTACCCATCCCGTGAGTCTGATGTGCGTTTCAATGCGCTGATAGATGTGTGCCTCATGCTCAAGTTACCACGTCGCTTTGTGACCATCACGAGCGTCTCTGTCGATCAACCGGGGCTGCGCCTTACTGTGGAGATCCACCACAACCGCCAAGTCTTGCCACGTGAGGTGCTGGAGCGCCGTTTCAGCAGCCAGCCATTCTGCTTCCTGCAGCGGCTCTATGAACTCCGTCACATTATGTCCTCCACCGGTAATGACACCGCTATCAGCCAGGTGTCGCGCAACGGGAGGCGTATGTCGCGCGGTGGCTCCCGCGTGACGTCACCACAAGCGGCCAATCGTGCATCCACCATGTACCCGCCGAGCGCCGATGATGATACAGTGGTGATGGGCAGCGACGGTGACGCGGCTGGGGACAGCCTGACAGATATGGAGAACCGCATGCGTGAGATGCATCGCCGGACAGAGGAGCGTGCGCGTCAACGTGAGAGTGAGGTGCGGAAGGATCGTGAACAGAAGCAGCTTGCGCTGATGCGCGAGCGCCTGCAACTGCAGACTGACCAGCTGGAGCAGGAAGAGTCACTCCGTCGCAGTAGAGTTGTTCTCACCGAGGCACAAGAGCGACAGAGCGCGGCATTTGACAAAGAACTCAGCCACCGCCACACCTTCGCCATGACGAGGCGCGCGCTGGAGGAGAAGGAGCAGGTGGAGCGTGCTATGGTGGAGGTGGGCTACGCGCGGCAGGCGCAGGCACTCGCTCAGGCACAACGCCGCAATATGGCCTTTGCACGCCTCGCCGCGCAGGAGAGGGAGCGACGCATCCGCCTTGCCGAGCAGGAGACTGAGGACCGTGGGGCTCTCGATCTCATACTGAACCCGAACCGCGACCGCGCAGTCGCCTCACAAACGGAGGTGAACGAGCGTGCGCGCCGACAGCGCCTCATCGAAGCGGAGGCGAAACAGCGAGCGCACATCTGTGCCAACATCCGCAGCTTCCTCTTCGACGCGCTACAGGACGAGCTGGAGGCGCTCTTCGGAGACGAGAAGACGGCCCGCATGGTGCTGACCGCGGACGAGATGAAGGAGCGCATAGATATCGTCTACAGCGGCCAGGCACCGAGGGGCGGCCCCACGTCGCCTGGCGCAACATGCGTCACACCGCAGGCGTGGCAGGCGCTCCTCGCGGAGGAGTCCGCCGAGCGCGTGCACCTCGCCAACGATGAGGTGCGCCGCCGCCACCTGTTCCAACGCGAATACATCGTGACAACGGAGGACGTCATGCGGAATGAGATTGAGCTGAAGGAGCTCGACGAGCACATCGTAATGCTCGATGGTATTGTGCAGTGCATCCGCGCGATGCTGGAGCGGCCCCG